TTTTGTTTGCTCGTTTGTTACTTTTTGAGACAGGGTCTCTGTGTAGCCCTGGATGTCCTGAACTCCCCATGTAGAATCTGCCTCACAAATGCTGGAATTAGCAGTGTATGCCACTATGCCAAGCTTGCAGTAAGTATTCTTAACCACAGAGCCATCTCTCCAGCCCACCATGCAATTGTTAATAGCATTGTTATTTAATGGTTGAGTTGCAATGTGCTTGGCATTTAATACAGAAGCATGTTTCTCTTGGCAGGTGGCCATTGCATAATGTCATGTAAATGTAGCTTTGGCATAAAAATAAGCATATATTTGTAAATTGCCCCCCTTCCAAATGGAACAGATGTTTTCCTGAGAGCTGGCTTTATTTAAAAGATTTGAGGCCTTTTTTTTTAAAAAACTGTTCACAGTTAAAATGGCTTCCTGGGATTAAGTTAAGACAGGTAGACTGGCTTTTGCCATGGTCTGAATCATCTACAAGAAGCAACTCCGAGAAGCTCAGACAGTGGAATGCTTGCTGTGTGTACATGGACTGGGTTGAACACCCAAGCCCCACATAGAAAGCCAGGTGAGCCAATGAGTGCCTGTATTCCCTACAGGCCAATCACTGGCACACACTGGCCAGGCAGCCTAGTCAAAACTGAGTCAGGTTCATTGAGAGACTCCTGTCTCAAAAAAAAAAAAAAAAAAAAAAAAAAAAAAAGGGCAATTGAAGAAAGCTGACATACCTGTGGCTTCTATGTACACAAACACCCACACACCAACATGCGCTCACAAACATGTACACAAACAGGCGTAAATGTAACACATCTTGCTTGGAGACTTAGTTCCCAGTATAGCAATGAAAGCTAAGGACATTGGTCTCCCATCAGGAGAGGGATATGATACCAAGCCAAGCATCCTATTAGAACTGGCATTAGTCACCAATATAACTGGAAGGGTAATTCTTTTCAAGTATGCTGCTCAAAACAGTAATTTTGAAGTTGTCTTATTAAAACTTTAAGCATGGCCTTGTACATGTCCGTCGTTCCAGGGCTCTTAAAGGAAGATTGCAAATTTGAGGACAGCCTGAGGTAAGGACCCTCAAGAAAACTAAATAAGCAAATAAATACATAAATTGAAGCACATAGTCCCCCATTTACCTAAAATCTAGTGAGATAGGACACCCTAAAATAGATCAAAGGATGCTAGCTGAATCTATGTAAAGAGAAATGTGGAGACTCTCAGAAGGGAGGGTTTGAGAAGCAGTGTTGATGGCAAAGTGGTGTTGAATTTCAGGCTGCTGCCAGCAGGCATGCGGGACTGTGGAGTGTGTTTCTTTTAGTATATACTAGAATGAATTATCACTAGTGAACTGGACATGGAGATAATGTAACCCTTGTAATCCCAGAGCTCAGAAGATGGAAGCAAGAAGATGAAGATTTGCGTCTAGACTACTGGGCTACACAGTGAGATGCTTTCTCAAAACAGTCAAAAAAAAAAAAATGTAAAGAAACAGTGAGTTGACTTAAAATGAACTTAAAGGAAAGTCAGGCTGGAGAGATGACTCAGTAGGTCAAGTGCTTGCCATGTAAGCATCAGGACCTGAGTTCAATCACCTGTCCCCACATAAAAGCAGGGAACAGCAACACTGGAGGCAGAAGGAGGCAAGTGGATCCCTGGGCTTGCTGGCCAGCCAATCTGGTTGAATCCCTGAGCTCAAGGTTCAGTGAGGGACCATGTCTCAAAAATAAGATGGAGAACAACTGAGGATGATACCCAACACTCACACATACCTGTGAACATGGGCACACATACTCTAATACATGTTTTGCTTTTTAAAGGAAAAAAGAGTAATTATGCACAGTCCAGGTGTCCACAGATGTAGCATTGCTTCCTGGCTAAGTTGGAGGTTCTGACACTGTGGGTGTGTGTGTGTTACACATAAGGAATAATGCTAGGGCGAGCCATGGAAAGAAAGGACAGCTGCCTTACAGTTAGTTCTCCAGAGACTGTGTTTGCCTCAAAGTCCAGCTCTTCCTTTGTTACATTTCAGTGGGTTTTGGTTCCGGCAACTATATAAATAATTACCAAGTGTTAGAGGGTATCCTAGTTTGATTTTTGTTGCTGTGATTAAACAAACAAACAAATACTTCCCAAAAACAATTTGGGGAGGAAAGCACTTATTTCACCTTACCTTAAGTCCATCATTGAGGGAGGCTGAGGTTAGAATTCAAGGCAGGAACATGAGGGCAGGAGCTGAAGCTGAGACCATGGAGAAGTGCTACGTATGGGCTTGATTTCCATGGCTTCTTCAGTCTGCTTTCTTCTACAGCTCAGGACCACAGACATGGCCACACTCTATCAGTCTGGTGGAGACAACTCCTCAGATAACTCTGCTTTGAGTCAAGTTGACACAACTAGTCAACACAGGTTGGTTTTTCACTTATTCTCCTCTGGGAGATAATATTACCCTTTTTATTTTTTTTAATCCAAATTTCCAAATTTAGTCCTGCATAGATTAAACACATTAGTGATTGGCTTCATTTTTACCAATAATGCATTGGTATCTCATTAGGGAAAGAAATAAAAGCACTTCCCCTTGGAGTCAGTTAACCAAGAATCTAGATTTGGGTAATCTGCTTCATTCTCTGTGTCTTCTGTTCTCTGTCTGTCTGGTCCATGAGTCCTGTGCCTGCCCTGTATATCTATCTGTCTTGTCTGTGTCTATGTGTCTGTCCCTGACAAAGGGTTTTGCACATGGGGAACAAATGAGATAATTTGCAGGAACATTTAGCAGGGTTTTACAAGGGAGTAAGTCACTGACTCCAACTGATCCCAACTGACCCAGGTATCAAGCATTATCAATTATCAACCAATAAATGGATGTTTCCAGCCTTTATGGTAGATTTTAGGAAGTTTCTTTCAACTTCTTCATTTGCTGCTGTGGTGATTTGAATAAAAATGTTCCCCATAGGTCTATAGGGAGTGGAACTCTTAGGAGGTGTGGCCTTGTTGAAGTAGGTGTGGCTTTATTGGAGGATGTGTGTCATTGGGCGTGGGCTTTGAGATTTCAGAAGCTCCAGCCAGGCCCAGCGTCCCTCTCTCTTCTTGCTGCCTGAAGATCCAGATGTAGAACTCTCAGCTACCTCTCCAGCACTGTGTCTGCCTGCATGCCACCATGTTTTCCCCATGAGGACAATGAACGAAACTTCTGAATCTGTATGCCAGCCCCAATTAAATGTTTTCTTTAGAGGAGTTGCCATGGTCATGGTGTCTCTTCACAGCAATAGAACCCCTAACTAAGAAAGTTGCTTTCAGCAAATGATACATTATCTGTGTCAAGGGCATGGAAGAGTATATAATTTAAGATTACAATAACTCATTAGCTTAGCTTGTAAAAGTTGGTTACCTGGGAAGTCCAAGGCAAATAAGGTCAGCTGCTACATTGATCTCTTAAGGGCTGGCTAAACCAACAGTCCACAGTAGGAGAGCCAACTTAAGTCTTAAGTGACCTCAAGGTGTATTATTAATTCAGCTGTGAGGTCCAGTCTCTTGGAATGTGAGAGATATTTTCAGAATTTGGATGGCCACTAAATTAAAATTTTCAAACTTATGGCTAGGGATGAATTCATGGAACAGAATAATATGATGGCATGCTTGAGTTTTGTCTTTATTGCTTTCTGTCTGGTAATTTATTTTCTGGCTGATTTGAATATTTGTTTGTTTGAGGCAGGGTCTCACTATGTGGAATCTTCCAGCCTCAGACTTGGGCTTTTCCTGCCTAGGATTCCCGAGTACTGGGATTCCAGTCATATGCCACTTTGCCTGACTTACTAGGGTTGAGTGTTTCTTAAAGGTACATGTAGTGGAGGCTTGGTCCCCAGGGTGGCAGTGGTGATAACCAGCAAAACCTTTACAAAATGGACCCCAGTGAGGTCATGTCCCTCAAAGAGTTGAAGGTTGTTTTCAGGGAACACCTTAGTATTTTTCCCAAGAGGATTTATAGGAAAAGTTAATGTTGGTCCTGACTGCTCTCTGGAGTGCTGTTTGAGATGTGAGCCATTGTCCCCACTCCTGCTGTGATTTGACAGCATCCACCATCAGGGCCTCAGCAGAAGCCAAACCAATAGGACCAACCAGTCTTAGACTTTGAGCTTCTAAACCTGACATTTCTTCATAAGCTGGCCTGTTTCTAACATTTCATAATAGCAATGAAAAGCCGATTCATGCCAGATTGCTCTAATTCACATCCCAGAGTCAACCAAGCCCACTGGACATTGAGAATTTAAATTTCCATATTAATATCTTCATATGGTTCGTAGTTGGAGGCTGTTTTGTTGTTGTTTTTAATGTGGTGGTGAGGATTGAACCCAGGACCTCACACATGCTGGGCAAACACTCATTGAATTTAGCCCTCCACACACACCTTACGTTCTATATTCTGGTTTACCTCAACTTCTCTTCCACATCTAGAAAAGTAAGTCTTGTGCTTCTCTGGTTTGTGCCTCAGTAGCAACAAAATAGCTCGTTAATGTACATGTCTTGTTACTGTTCTATTGCTGTGAACAGACACCATGACCATAGCAACTCCTATAAAGGAAAACATTTAATTGGGACTGGCTTACAGTTCGGAGGTTTAGTTCATCATCATCATGGCGGGAAGCATGGCAGTGTGCAGGCAGTCATGATGCTGAGAGTTCTACATCCTGATACATAGGCAGGTGTGAAGAGCCTCTGCCTAGCACGGGCTTTTGAAACCTCAAGCCCACCCCCAGTGACATACTTCCTCCAAAAGAGCATACCTCCTAATCCTTTCAAATAGTGTCACTCCCTAAACACTTCAATATGAACCTATGCTGGCCATTTTATTTAAACCACCACAGTAGGCATGCACATTTCTGTGGCCAGCCATCAGGTTCACCCATCCAGTACTTAAAAACTTTTATTAGGAAAAAAAAGTTGAAATATATTAATCATCAATGCATCCTCCGGTATTTTCTAAACTAGGTTTCATGGCTGGATGAGATGAAGTGGGGATGGTGCATGGATTTCAGTTACATTTCTGTTTTCTCCTCACTAATAGAAAAAGCAAAACACAGTACACCCCGGGGAAGATACTGTTGTAAGAACAACACAAACGACTGAGGGAGGAAAAGCTCCTGCCTTCCACAGCCAGCATTACATAGGCAATGATGAGCTGGGTATGGGCCCAAGTGAGGGCTCTATAGAGCAGCCGCAGTGGCCAGGAGCTGATAAATACACTGGCAAAAGCGTGAATCAGATAATCGGCTTCTACCATTAGAGACCAGCACAGGAAGCCGAACACCTGTCCCGGATGGAGCCCGTGCCACCAAGCGGAAAAGGCAAAAGTCTGCAGCACTGGCCAGCGCCGGCTGTTCTGAAAGATGAGCCGCCTGAGCCACCGAGCTGTGCTTCGATTCCACCGCCTGGCGAACACGGAGATCCTGTGTGTAGTTTCCAGTGTCCACATGTCCACGTCGGGGATGTATTCCTCCTCCCCAGCCCTCTGGCCAGCCTCGGATCCAAAGCCCGCCGCATGGAGGAGAGAGTCATCCAGGATCCAGTGGGAGTAGTAGGTGAGTTTGAAGAGCCCAGCTGTGGACCACATGATGTAGATGCACTCCAGCTGCCGGCAGTCGTCCAGCCCGGGTCCTGTGCTCACCACCCTCCTCAGCGCCACCTGGAGCCACTCCAGCCCAACAATCTGCAGACCCCTCCAGGTCAGAGCCCAGGGAGAGAGACCGGGATGCAAAGAGCTTGACCTTTCAACACAAGCCCGGAATCTCCGAAAGGAACACAGCGGGCCTCCCAGGAGGGCAGGGAAAAAGAGCAAGTAGCTGACACAGGGCAGAGCCTCCAACGCGCACTCAGACAAGGAGCTCCTCCTATTCTGGGTGCCGCCCGACGCTGCCTCCACTTTCCCCTCACGAATGTCCATTGAGAGCGACGTGACTCTCTGCGTCAAGAGCATGAGGGAAGAAAGGGCGATGTAGAATCTGCAAGAGATGTAAAGAAATATGTACATGAAGCCGCACCGGATTTCTTTCCTCGCTTATGTCCAGACCTGCCCACAGATCTCAAAACAAGCCATAAGCCACAAAGACTCTTACATTCTTTCAGAACCATACATTAGTTCACAGCAAAAACATCATTGGTTAGAAATGAAAAAAAAAATTGATGAGGGATACTATGAGAAAATATTGATGGTTTTGTTTTGTTTTTTGAGACTTGTAGCTTTGGCAGAGCTGGGAATCACAGGGCTACTCCGGACTGCCTTCCAAATGCTGGGATTAAAAGCACTGTGTCGCCATGTCTGGCTGACTATTGCATATAGAATATAACTAAATTTTTATATGTATGGATGTGTTGCCTATGTAAGTCTATGTAATATGTACATGCCTGAGGACGCCAGAGGGGACTTTAGATCCCCTGGAACTGGGGTTATGGATGGTTGTGAACTATCATGAGAGTGCTGGGAATCGAACCTGGGTCTTTGTAAGAGCAGTCAGTGCTCTTAACCACTGGGGCATCTCTCCATCTCCTGGCTAATATTTTAGAATGGAATGGCTTATAAAGGGCCAGAGAGATGGCTCAGTGGGTTAAGACACTTGAGGCTGAAATCCTGAGTTCAATTCCCAGAACCCACAGTTTTAAATAAGAAGAAAACTGGCTCCCAAACTTGCCTTCTAACCCAGACCATGGTGGTGCACACCTTTAATCCCAGAACTCAGGAGGCAGAGACATTTGGATCTCTGTGAGTTTGAGGCCAGCCTGGTCTTCTAGTGAGTTTCAGGACAGCCAAGGCTACAGAGGAACTTTGTCTTTTTAAAACAAAGTTGCCTTTTGATCTCTACAGGAGTACTGTGTCAAGTACAATAAATAAATTAATTAAAATGTTCCTTTAAAAAAAGAATGTCTTGTAAATATTAGGGTCAGAGCCAGTATGTGATACACACTTGTAGTTATCACACTCAAGGGGCTGAGGCAGGAGAACAGTGAACTGGAGGCTTGTCAGTACTATAGAGTAAGTTCTAGAACATTCCATATATAAAAAAAAATCAAGAAGAAATTTAAGACTGGAGACATGGAAGACATTTGATACAAAAGAAATAAGAATTAGTATGAAAGGATTATGGGAAATTGAAGTTTTTAAATATAAGTCAGGCCCTGGCTGTAATACTCTGGCGACTGGAGTTGTGCATTGAAAAATGCATCAGCATGAGTGGTGGCTCTCAAGCAGTTGAGGTTTGTGTTTTATATTTGAACTCTCATCAAGACACCAGAGATTCTGCTAATGAGATTGCTGGGGACAGCCAGAAAAAATAACAATGACACCCTCCCTGTACAGTCAAGGAAACAGTGCTGTCCCCAGCCATGACCATGTCATCTGTGAATTGGACTTGAGGACATCAGATCCTCCTGCCTGACTTATCCTGAGAGCAGGCTCACTTCCAAATGCCAACTTCCCTTCCATTGCAGCTGTGTCCCCCAGATTCACATCCTGAAGTTCCAATCCCTGGAGACTAAGAGAGTGGAGTTAAAGAAGTGTTTAAAGTGACATCATATGAACAGACACACTCATTACACTCATCCAACATAACTAAAGAATTCGGACACATACACAGTCAGATGTGTATGTGACAGACAGGAGCACACACACACACACACACAGGATGACCATGTGACAACCCAGGAGAAGGTGCCCATCTATGCCAAGATGAGAAGGCTCACATGCAGCCCCATGTTGTGAAGAGATACAATTCTATTGTGTGTATCACCCAGTCAGTGGGCTTTGCTACAGCAGCTCTGGCTCCAGTCAGTGGGCTTTGCTACAGCAGCTCTGGCTAGCTGGCACTCATTGTCATTTCACATCTGCCCCAGCCTTCTTCCCATCCACTCAGAGCCTGTTCAACTTGCCCTTCTGGCCTCTAGCAGGTCCTGGCTTCCTACTACAGTCCTGATTCATCATATTCCATACAGTAATCCCGCCTATTTACCATCTCACCTCTCCCAGAGACACAAGCCTGAAATCAGTCTCTATCCCCCAACCTAACCCCCACCCATGTGTGTGTCTGTGTGTTTGGGTGTCAGTGTGTGCTTATGTGTACCTGTGTATATCTGTGTATGTCTGTGTCTGTGTGTGTCTATGTGTGTGTGTGTATGTTTTTCTGTCTCACTGTGTGTCTGTGTGTGTTGTATGCACGTGTGGAGGCCAAGAGAGACCATGGGATGGAGGCCCTGCTCTATCATGTCTACCTTATTCCTTGGTATACAGAGTCTCTCACTGAACCTGGGGTGAGGCTGGCTGTCCCCCAGCCCCAGTGGTCCTGTCTCCAGCCTTCCCAACATACACACAGAGTTGGGGTTGCAAGTACACTAAGTCACTCCTAACTTTTTCTATGAGCTCTTGAGGTTTCTCGGGTCCTAAGATTTGCACAGCAAGCACTCTTGTCCGTTAAGCCATCTCTTTAGCCTGTAAGTCTGAAGTCTTGGTGAACATTGTCTTATTTTTGTTGTTGTTGTTGTTTGGTTGGTTGGTTGTTTATTGCTTTTGAGACAGGCTCTTATGCATCCCAGGCTGATCTTCCTTCAATTCGATATATAACTAAGAATGGCCTTGAACTTTTGATCATCCTGCCTCTGTGCTGGGGTTACAGGCAGGTGTCACCAAGTCTGGTGCGCCATGATCATCTTTAAAGGATTCCAGGTGCAGAGGGAGTGGCAAAGGGAGCTAAGAGGAGATTAAAATCAGACAGGGACCTGCCCAGTGTAGTCATAGCCTGTATTCTCTGAGTGACACAGACCTACGCCAGCTGACAGACAGCCTTGAGGCACCAGGAACACTAGGTGACAGGAGCAGACAAAGATACTTACTCCCTTAATCTTGTCAATTCCCCTAGCTCATAACACGCCTCCAGTCTATAACTAGTTCTTGGTTTTTGTTCTCTGTTGCTCTCTAGGTTGGGTGGATACCCTTCTTAGAGATGAAAGGGGTGTTGAAACAGCTGAGCCTGGATAAAGACAACACACAGAGGCAGCCAGGCCTTCTTTGATTTGGCTGTGCCAAAACTGCAAGGCTGAGATGAGCAAGCCATCATCACTGCCAGGCACAATGACAGTTTCAGCAAGTGCCAGATCCTGGGTATCTAGACAGTAACATGAAACGGCTCTGTGTAGTCACAGAACTTCATTTACACTGATTATCTCTAACACCACAGCCTCTCAAGAAAGCTGTTGCCAGCCTTGTTGTTCCTTTTCTAGGAAAAGAGGCTGCCCCTTTGGCGAAGCTCAATGAACATGTGAGGATTAGAGTCAGCTCAGTGACAGCAAACGGGGGCCTTTACCGGACAGGTGCAGGCTCTTGCAGGTAGTATTCCGTGTAGTGAAGACCCAGGTGCCACAGGGTCTGCCAGCCCATCTGAAAGGAGAAGGTCAGCCTATGGACTTCCTGTGGACCATGTGAGGAGACCAGAGCCACAGCGCAGAGAGCAGGGATGAAGATGAGCAAAGCATAGGATCCCATGGCAGCCAAGGCCAGGACACCTCCTCCAGCCAGGAGAAAGAGGTACCTGAAAGAAAGGAGACAACAAAGGCGACACTCAGAACAGTGTCTCAATGAATCCTATCATTGTCATCCCAAGAAATCTAATACAATATGGACAGACGCTGTGTGGTTGCCACAGTGAATCTTCTGTTCTGAAGGAAATAGAGTCCAGGTCCCTTGTAAACGTCTGCCTCCGGAGGCAAATCTTGTTTCCTCCCTTGGTGCCCTTGGTAACTCTTGTATGCCTATCATACAAATGGCTATAACCACTAAGAGCCTGTGGTAATTTAAATGGGAATGGCCCCCATAGGCTCATATGTTTTGTATGCTTGGTCCACAGTTAGTGGATTAGGAGGTGTGGCTTTGTTGGAGTAGGTGTAGAATTATTGGAGGAGGTGAGTTTTGAGGTTTCAAAAGCCTGTGCCAGGCCAGGTCTCTCTCTCTCTCTCCCTCATTCCTACTCTCTCTCCCTCTCTCTGCCTATGGATCAGGATGTAAGCTCTCAGCCCCTGCCCACCCACCCGCCTGCCTGCCTGCCTGCCAAACACCATGCTTCCTGCCATGGTGACAATAGATTAACCCTCTGAGGCTGTGCAAGCCCCAAGTTCAATGCTTTCTTTTATAAGACTTGCCTTGGTCATAGTATCTCTTCCGAGCAATAGAACAGTGACTAAAACAATCCAGGCAGCTTGACAACGAACGGGACTTCTCAAGATCTAACTGAGAAGCTGGGCAGCAGTGTCTGCAGCCTTTAATCCCAATACTTGGGAGGCAGAGGGAGGTGGATCACTGTGAGTTTGAGGCCAGACCGGTCTACAAATTGAGTTCTAGGACAGGCTCCAAAGGTACACGGAGAAACCATGTCTCAGAAAAAAGAAAAGAAAAGAAAAGAAAAGAAAAGAAAAAATCTAACTGTGGGTTGTAGAAAAACTAGCAAGTCTCCCATAACCGAAGTAAAGACCCTTTTTTCCTCACAGGGTGTAACATCACCCAGTGCATTTCAAAGAGCTGGAGAGAGGATACACAATGCCTGTCTCGGTCAAGAATTTGAACACATTAGCAGCAAATCTTTATGTCTTTGTGTCAAAACACACCTCCAATGAGTTCATACCTACTCCAACAAAGCCACACCTTCTAAGCCTCCTTCATCCTCACTACTGTAAGCACTTGGGAGCTCATTGTTTGTTGTTGTTGTTGTTTAAGATTTACTTATGAATAGTGCTCTGTCGGCATGTATGCCTGCACATCAGAGGACAGCACCAGATCTCATTATGGATGGTTGTTGGGAATTGAAATCCAGACCTCTGGAAGAGCAGCCAGTGCTCAACCTCTGAGCCATCTCTCCAGACCCTGGGTTTTTGTTTGTTTTGTTTTGTTTTTTAAGTTGTTATAGTTGATGTTTTATGAGTCTTTGTATATAGAAAGCTTTCTTATAACAGTCCCCCCACTCCACCCGAAGCTGGGTGGTGGTGGCACATGCCTTCAATCCCAGCACTAGGGAGGCAGAGGCAGGAGGATCTCTGAGTTTAAGACCAACTTGTTCTACAGAGTGAGTTCCAGAACAGCCAGGGGCACACAGAGAAGTCCTGGCTGGAAAAACAAAAAACAAAAGCAAAGGAAATCTGTCCCTCTATCGCCATCTCTCAGAAACAAGGGTAAGGGCCATCTATGAGTTGTGAACAGAGGATATCATACCTGCAATATTACCTGCATATATTAAACAGTTAGATTTTACCTAAGACAATCCACTAGGTCTAAAAGGTTGTGCTTAGCAGTAGAGTAAGCACATCTTCAGTATGTGCAAAGCCCTGGGTCATACCCTGAACACCACACACATGGATACACATACAGCTCCACTAAATAAAATCTTAGTTTCCTAAATAAGGAAAAACTGGTAGGTGGCTTTGGGCAATAGACTGCTGGTTTTACAGAAGGATCTTCCACAAAGCCTTCTTGAAAATCAAATGCGCTTTTTAATGTACTGAGCGTTACAAAGAAAATGTATAACCAAGTTATCAGTTCTTTAGTGATGCCAGTTTTAGACCAAATTGAGGTATAATCCACCAAGATTTGTTTTGACTTATTTCTCAAAAACAAACCAAAAAAAATCAAAGGCAAATTTTAAAACTCACACTTTGTTATAGATATAACACACAAGCAATATTTTCCAAACAGTTTAATTTCATGTTAGACAAAATCCTCAAAACTAAGACTGCTGAAGACTAACCGGGATCTGCAGTTAGCACAGAGGTATACATTTTAGGATTTCCAGTATCATCTCAATATTTAACCATTTTCCATTTCATATGAACCTAGCTACCTATTTTTGAGTCAATGCAAACATAAAGTTAATTTATGAGTCAGTTTTAGTCTAATACAGAGGTTCTCAACCCATGGGTTGCGACCCCCTTGGGAGAGTCAAATATCAGATAACATGCATATCAGATATTTACATTATGATTCATAAAAGTAGCAAAATTACAGTTATGAAGTAGCACCTAAATAATTTTATGGGTGGGGGTCACCACAACATGAGGAATTTTATTAAAGGGTTGCAACATTAGAAAGGTTGAGAACCACTGCTAATCTATTGACAATCATTATCAAGCAGCCAACCATCCATCAATAGCACAACACATGAAAAATTACACTTTGAGAGTAGCTAATGTGTGGCCTTCTCATGTACAGAACACTCTGTTTCCACCCGATTATTGTACCACTAGATGGAAAAACAATATTAGCCATCCAGCCTACCTGGCCCGGGTGGAAAAGGAATCCATGAGGCAGAGATAATTAAACAGAAGTGCAAAGGGGAAAGCAGCCCCTTGATAAAGTGATATGGGATGGAGGAATAAGAGCTGGAGCCAATCCATTATGAACAGGGAACAAACTTCCTTCCTAGAGTTCTGCACTGGTGCCCTCCTTCAAGGGAAATCACAGCCAGGCTCTCCCTGGCCTTTTTATGTGGTATTAAAAGGCCTGCAGGATAGCTCTGCAGATAAGCAGTGTAAAGGTTGGCTCCTGATAACAGGACCGAGCTATGGAAACCAAATCACACTGCAGAATTCTCTCGCCTCTCTGTGTTTACTGAAAAATTGCTCTCAGAGGTTGTACCTTGCAGGCAACATGGCATGTTATTTGCCTTTCCAGCCATCACATTGTTATATATTTTCTTCGCTAAGTTAATGGAAGAAAAAAAGCCACTGTTGTAGACAAAGAGGCCTGGACTAAGGACAAAAGAAAGGCAAATCCACAACAAAAATCAAGATTCCTTTCTCAATTACCTCTCTTACAGTGCCTTCTCTTCCAAAGCAGAACCACCCCCACCACATGCCTACTTCTTGATTAGTTTATTTTCTGCTCTTCATAAGCAAAACGAGAGCTCTACAGGGGCAGGACACTCTCATTTATTGCAAAATCTCCAGCATGCAGAATAGGGATGCAAACCCACTTTCTATTCATCAAACACTTATTGAAGTTAAGGTTTAGAGGACAAAAAAGTGTGGGGAGAAAAGAGAGTCTTTGGTTTGAGGGGTGGGTAAAGCTGAGAATATGTCCTCAAAGCAAGACAAGAGTGAGAGGCCATCTGTCAGCTAGTGGAGGCCTGTCTGCTGAGCCCAGGACATTGCAAGCCAACACAGCACCATGTACTAAAACACCAGTCACCCTTCTGTTCTGATTATTTTTCTCATGAGCACACATTAGGCTGAATTTATTTCTTTTACTGTTGTGGCGGTTAGAAAGGAAATGCCCCCCAAAGGGAGTAGTACTATTAGGAGGTGTGGCCTTGTCTTGGTCTATTGAGATGGCTTAGCAGTTAAGAGCACTGGACGATTTTCCAAACGACCCAGGGTCTACTCTCTGTGTCTGCAAGGTGACTCACAACTGTCTGTAACTCCAGTTCTCAGGGGATCTGAAGGCTTCTTTTGACCTGGAAAGTCACCAGACATGCATATGGTGCACATACTCATATGCAAGAAGGCACCTATATACATAATAAAAACAATAATACAACTCATCAACTGAAAAAAAACAAAAACAAAAACAACATCTGACATACAAATCCCAAAAACAGGGACATACTATGAAACCAGACAACAAAACTTCTCCCAAAGTTGTTAATCCTCTGGTTAGGGCATTTAATGAGAGCAAGTAAGCGGAAGCCCCAGCCTGAGAACACAAACTAAGGATTAAAAACACATTCTAAGTCACAGACAGCTGAATGAAACAAGGAAGAAATGCAGGATATGAAAGATGGATCCAATAAGGAGACAGAAATGCAGAAGAAAAAACACTCTGAATGCAGAAATGGAAAACATATTAAGTCTGTGGTGGTTTGAATAGAAAACAGTCCCTATAGTCTCGGGTATCTGAACACTTGGTCCCCTATTGGTGGCACTGTTTGAGGAGGCTTAAGAGGTGTGGCCTTAATGGAGGACGATGTCACAGAAAGTGGATTTTGCCACTTCCAATTTGCTTTTTTTGTTCTGTGCTTGTAGTTCAAGATGTGAGTTCTCGACTTTCTGTTCCTGTCACCATGTCTGTTGACTGTCGCCGTGCATCAATTCTGCCATCATGAACTCTTTATATGTATTTTATGCACCTTGGTTTTTGCCATGGGTGTTGGATCCCCTGGAACTGGAATTAGACAGTTGTGAGCTGCCATGTGGGTGTTGGTAATTGAACCCAGGTCCCTTAAAAGACCAGTCAGTGTTCTTAACCACTGAGCCATCTCTCCAGCTACCATCATGAACTCTTATCTTTCTGGAACCATAAACCAAAATAAACTTTGTCTTCTTTAAGTTGCATTTGGTCATGATGTTTTATCTCTGCAAGAAAAAAGTGATGTAGAGTAACATGTTCAAAATTAAAAAAAAAAAAACTGTGAAATGTTAGGCATAGTACCTCTTGCCTTTAATCTCAGCACTCACAAGCAAAGGAAGGAAGATCTCAGTGAGTTCAAGGCCATCCAGCCTGGTGTACAGTGCCAGTTCCAGGCCAGCCATGGCTGCAATAGTGACACCCTGTTTCAAAACAACAACAAAAACCAAAAAGTAACCCCATAGAAAACCTCAGCAATAGAACAGACATAGGAGAGGACAGAATATTTGATCTTGAAGACAACTGCAGGAATTAGAACAATCCAACAAGAACCAAGGTGAAATAATAAAGAAGTGTAAATGGGAATTCCAAGATCTACTCAATGTTCTAAGTCGAAGTCTATAAGTTCCAGGCATACGAGGTGAATAATATCATCATAAAGGGATAGAAAACATTTTCAAAAGAATTACAACAGGAAATGTCCCACAGTTTTCGTGAGACAAAAGAGGTAAGTGTTCCACAAACAGGAAGAGTTTAGGACACTAGGCAGACCAGAAACAAACCTCCCATGTCATATCATAATTAAAACACTAATATACAGAACAAAAAAGTATATTAAAAATGGCAAAAGAGCAGGCAGGTCCATCACATAAACAATGGTTTATGAAATGTTAAAAGCCAGAAGAGTTTGCAATGATGTATTTCAAGTTCTGAAAGCTAACCACTGCCATCCCAGAACACTGCACCCACATAAAGCTACCTGTTGAAACTAAAGGAAAAATAAAAAACTTTCCATGACAAAAACAGGCTAAAGGAACTCATGACCACTCAGCCAGCTCTACAGAAGATATCTGAAGGAATCTTTCAGACTGAAGACAGAAACAAATCCCTCCCAGAGACCACAAAAATAGAATCAACCATAGTAGAAACAGAAGGTTAAGGAAGACACAAGAAATAAACACCACTATAAAAATCAACAGAAATGACCGGAGCGATACATAACTCTGATGACTTTGAGACCTGTGATCCTCACTGAGCTGGGTTATGGATGTTCTCTGCCATGTTCAGTTCCATGTGACTCTGGGAATGAACTCAAGCCTCATACATGCTAGGCAAACACTGTACCAACTAAGACAAATCCCTGGCCCCCATTAAGGCATTTCTTGGTATGATTTGAAGCCATTACCTAATTATCTTTAGGAAACAGATTCTCCCAGATAACCTGGGTGGGCCTGATCCAATCAGTTTCCCTGAAAAAGAAATACCACCTGTGGGCGGCAGCTTGGACTTCCAAAGGAAAAGCCAACTCTCAATCCCTAACTACTGCTATCCCCCCACCCCTGACATCTTTTAATCCAATGGTTCTCAACTGTGACACTTCAATGCAGTTGCTCATGTCGTGGTGACCCCTACCATAAAATCATTTTTATTGTTACTTCATAATTGTAATTTTGTTATTGTTATGAAATGCATTGTAAATGCTTGTGTTTTCCGATGGTCTTAGGTGATCCCTATCATTCGACCTCCCAAAGGGGTCGCAACCCACACACAGGTCAAGAACTACTGTTCTAATTCTTTAAATCCCAGATGGTACAGTCAGCATTCAATCTGAGAAACAGCCAGCGGGAAATATGAATCATGAGGCTTTTTACAAGGAATTAGTTAGGGACCTGCTGTGCAAGACCAAAACCGGTAGATCAAGCTGGGACTTTTCATTTGGAAGTACAAGATGCCGCCCGCAGGTGGGATTGGGATTTCTTTTTCCGGGAAACTTCGGTGCTGCTTGCACACACATGCATGCATGCACGCACGCACGCGCGCGCACACACACACACACACACACACACACACACACACAACCTGAGGTTTAAAAACTGGATTTGATGTTCAAAAGAGATTTTGACAAGAAAAGCCGTGGCTAGGGTTTGGGACACGGACTAGAAGTTAAAGGCAGAGCGAGCTAACGATAAGGGACAGGGCGGCTGGGATCAGATCAGTCTTGGCTGAGTAAACACTGTCAACTGGAGGAATGATTTCCCAGGCCAGGCCCGCAGGATCTGCAGGTGGATTTCACCTCTAGGAGCGTGGCAAGCGCGAGCCCACCCCGACAAAAGCAAGACGTCCGCGATGCGCAAGCGCAAACTGGTCTCTCAAGCCCTGCCCCTGCCGGCCGGGCCAGGCTCTGCAATCGGATGTAGAGATCATCGCTCTAGCCAGGCAGTGGGGTCGATCTCCGCTCTTCCTGAGACCCGGGCCTGACGATGGCGGAGAAAACTCAAAAGAGGTGCGTGTGCTGCTCGGCCAGAGCCCGCTCTCACTCTCCGAAGGGGCGGGACCTGATTCTGGTCGCACTGCGGGCAGGGAGGGACTGAGACGGTGTTTCGGTGGCTGGCTCCAGAATCCTCCCGGGGTGGGGGCGGGGAGGGCTTGTTCCTTGTCACCCCCACCCCTGCACTCCTGTGCGCACTCTCCGGCGGGGCTGCCGGCACTCGGGGCGCTGTGCGAGCCAGACGCCGCCCAGCGGTGGCTGCTCCGTCGGCCCTGCCTCTTGTCCGGAAGAGGGGGGCCTGGAAGAAGTCCCTGGAGCAGTCACCCCCTGCCCAGCCAGCGCCTGAGAGCCCGGGGCCGGTCTGTCGGTGGGAAGAGACTGTGTTGTGTGGGTGGCAGGCAAACATGCAGAACCATTTGCAACAGCAGCGGTGTTGTTGACACAGGAGCACCCTCTGTGTAGCTTTTCTTCCTTTTTTTGAGACAAGTTCGCAGGAGGTAGCCCTGGCACTTTTTTTGCAACTCTATGTAGAGCAGACCTGCCTTGAACTCACGGGGATGCGTTTGCCTCTGCCTCCTTTGCGCTGGAATTACTAGATTTATTTTGAATTTTTCCATGTTATGTGTCTCTGCCGGTATGAGCATGTGGGTGCAGGTGTCCCTATGGCCAGAAGAGGGCGTGGGATCCCCCTGGAGCTGGAGTTACAGGAGGTTGTTAGCTATCTGCAGGGTGAGGGGGTGTTACTGTAATGAGGTCTTCTCTGTCTCACAGCCAACTCCCAAATCACCA